TCACGTGCTCTTTCCTCCAAAAACACAATTCTCTTAACTAAAAATAAAGTAAAGGCAAAGTAAAGATAAGCTAAGTGCTGGATTTTTATAAATTTTAATAGGTAGAAAATAACTAAGTAACAACGGAAACAAAACAAAGCTCAATAAAGGAATGTAAAGTACTCGGGATTTAAAAACTAAAAGCAACTAATGAAAGCAACTCAAAAGTACTTAGAAAGCAACAAAGAAACACTAAGAATGATCAAGAGAAGGAAGCAAGGCTTGATGAATTTGGTGGATAAGCTGCTGGAATTTATAGTTGTGCAGAATTGGTTAGGTAGGACCTAAAATGCTTGTAGATCACCCATTTCCAACTCCTTTGACTGACCAAATCATGCTCAAACTCATAGTGGAACACTTCTTCTACACGTATGCATCGGTTGGAACCACCAAAACGCATTGGAAGACGCGTTTCATTAAGGGCAAAGTTGGAAGAAAACCAGGATTTCTGCAGCCTACCAGTCGCCTGGCGCCTCCAATGAAGGTTTTTCCGTCTTTTTGCTTCTTTTGAATAATTTGCACTCCCAAATGGTCCTAAAATGTCAAAAATAGAATATAAGCCAACCACAAACCAGCATATATGAATTTTGCATGAATTGGAACTCAAACGACCGAGAAAAAGTCTGAAACAAAGTTAAAACATAGTAAAAACAGCATCTAAAACCTTCTTTTTACGGATGTAAACAAGCGTAATCAAGTCGCTAGCCACTTCTTTATGTCAGTGAGGTATCCTACATCATTCCCAATGAGCAGGATATCATTCACATACAACACTAAGAAGGCTACGGTGTTGTTGACGATCTTCTTGTATACACAAGGCTCATCAACGTTTTGGTCAAAACCATCAGATTTGATTGCAGTATCGAACCTTATGTTCCAAGATCGAGATGCTTGTTTGAGTCCATATATGGACCGTTTAAGCTTGCAAACCTTTTGCTCTTGACCTTGTTCGATGAACCCTTCGGGTTGAGACATATAAATACTTTCTTCAAGATTGCCATTCAGAAAAGTAGTCTTGACGTCCATTTGCCATATCTCACAGTCATAATATGTGGCAATGGACAAAAGTATTCTAATAGACTTAAGCATAGCTACAGAGGAGAAGGTTTCTTCATAGTCCACCCCTTCCCTTTGTGTGTAGCCTTTTGCCACAAGTCTGGCCTTATAGGTCTGTACCTTTCCTTCGACGTCTCGTTTTCGCTTGTAGATCCATTTGCACCCTATGGGTTTTACCCCGTTGGGTTGATCTACAAGTTCCCAAACGGAATTGAAGTACATCGACTCCATTTCCAGGTCCATTGCTTTGACCCATTTGTCCTTGTCAGTATCTTCCATTGTCCATTGCTTAACTTGAGTTTCAATTAAGCCCACGTAGCGGTCAGGTTGTGACACAATCCTCCCACTACGTCGACGCACCCTTAACACTTGAGGTGGATGTGACTGACGCGATGTACTGGCTTCATCAACAACTCTTGTTGTAGTGCCAGTTTGATCAACAACTCTTGTTGACGTGTTTGTAGCCTCTTTGGAAATCTCGTTAATTACTACCTTACTCCGTGGTTTATGATCTCGAACATGGCCTTCTTCTAAGAAAGTAGCATTTGTCGATACAAACACTCTGTTTTCTTTATGATCGAAGAAGAGACCACCTCTCGTCACTTTAGGGTAACCTACGAATAGACATACTTTTGAACGAGGTTCCAGTTTCTTCAGGTTAGTCATGAGCACGTGTGCCTGGCATCCCCAAATGCGAAAGTGACGTAAACTAGGTTTACGACCCTTCCAAAGCTCAAATGGTGTTTCAGAAACACTCTTTGATGGAACTAGGCTCAAAATATAAACTGCAGTCTCCACTTCATAACCCCAAAACGAGTTAGGTAACTGGGCATAGCTCATCATTGATCGAACCATGTCCAACAGGATTCTGTTTCTCCTTTCTGATACACCGTTTTGTTGAGGTGTACCAGGGGCTGAGAGTTGGGACGTGATTCCATGTTCTATCATATAGTCCTGGAATCTCAAGTCCATATACTCTCCACCCCGATCTGATCGAAGTGTTTTAATGGTTTTACCTAATTGATTTTCAACTTCAGTCTTGTACTCCTTGAACTTTTCAAGGGCTTCAGACTTATGTTGCATTAGGTAYAAATAACCATACCTTGAATAATCATCAATAAAAGAGATGAAGWATTCATACCCTYCTCGAGCWCTAACATTCATTGGACCACAAAGGTCTGAATGTATAAGTTCTAAGGGCTCTTTGGCTCTATAACCTTTTCCAGTAAAAGGTCTTTTAGTCATCTTGCCTTCAAGACAAGACTCACATGGTGGTAAAGAATCATCTTCTARCTCAYTTAGAATGCCATTCTTAACCAACCTCCCAATCCTATTGAGATTARTGTGACYTAATCTTAAGTGCCAAAGATAGGTAYCTTCCTTTTGAGAAACTTTTTGCCTTTTATTTTGAGTTCTAGCATTTTTAAACAACTCGGTATTTAAAACTGYTTTAGTTATGGTTGGTCTTAGMACATACAAGTTGTTTTCAAGYAAAGCWGAACAAATATTAACACCWTTTCTYGAAATGAACGYTTCATTYAWATGAAAWGAAATTGAATACATMTSTTCYAAYAAACAAGAAATTGAAATTAAGTTCCTTTTAATTTTAGGAACAACGTACACATTATCTAATAATATATACATATTCTTGTTTGTAAACAACTTGAACTCCCCTGCCGCCACAGCTGAGACGACCTCTCCTGTTCCGACCTTGAGAGTCATCTCACCGGCGTAAAGCTGCCTCCAAGAACTAATTCCCTGAAATGAAGAACAAACGTGATTAGTGGCTCCTGAATCCAGTATCCAGGCGGAGTCATCATTCTCTACTAAACATGTTTCCAATACAAGTAAATCATATTTACCTTCGTTGGCTTTCTTCTTCTCGGCCAAGTATTTTGGGCTTGCGCTTCCAATGCCCGTCCATATTGCAGTGGAAACACTTTCCGTTTTCTGCAACCTTGACCTTGCCTTTCTGGGCAGCAGCAGCTGAGTCAGGTTTAGACCCCTTACCAGCAGCCTTCTTCTTCTTAAGTCTTACTTCCAGAAGAAGAGGGCGCAGACCTGGTTCCAAAGGACGATCCTCTATTGAACGTCTTTGAGGTGGCAACATTTGCCTCCCCTTCTTGCCCCTTACATTTCATAAGAGACTGGTAGGTCTGCAGCTCGTTTAGGAGCGTGGTAAAAGTGTACTCCAGCTTATTCATAACCGCATTGCTGCGGAATGGCAGGAAACTCTTCGGAAGAGATTCCAGAATGAAGCTGACCTACTGCTCGTCTATGACGGCCCCGTTTGACTCAGCCACGTTGAAGTGGACCATCAGGTTGAGAACGTGTTCTCGCACTGATGAACCCTCCTTCATACGGGAGTTGTAAATGAACTTAAGGGCTTCATGTCGAGCCTGTGAGGACGGTTGTCCAAACATGCTCTGCAACGAGTCCATGATCTCCTTAGCGGTGATCGTGTCCTCGTGCTTCTTGGCAAGCACATCAGATATGCTCGCCAAGATGTAGACCTTGGCCTTGTCATTGGCCTTGATCCACCTGTCATAGGCGATGCGCACTGCCACAGTGGCGTTAGGCGCAGAAGCTTGAGGACAATCCTCTTGCAAGACGAACTTAAGATCATCTATCACGAGAATAGTGTTTAGGTTTGACTTCCATTGTTTGTAATTTTCGCCATTAAGTCTTTGCGCGGCTAAGAGTGCAATAATAGAAGTAGACATGCTGAAAGTAAAAACAAATCTATATTAGTTTCATGCATTAGCCTTTTAAACCCAATCAAAATTTTAGTAAAACAATTAAGCACCCTAACAAAATTGTTTTGCAACGACGCTTCAGTGATTTAGAGCAACAACCACCGTAGGGCGGACAGGTACTCCTTCACTGAATTGAGACATTCTCAACTAAAGTTTACACCAGAATAACTCTTATTCTTATAAATTTTAGTCATCGATTATTTGGTCAGGAAATTGCTAACTAACTTAACAATCCCTCGTAAGTGTGACCCAACATTTTTTGGACCTCAGAGGTCCACTCTAATAATCCTGCTGTAGGGAAGGAAAATATTGGAGCAAAACCTAAGAGACTCCTATCCATTTCTGGAGTTTGCCTTGATTTTGATTTCCATACAATGAACCCTCCATAGGGATGGTCGCTCCAGGACAACACGCAGGTCGTGTATGAAACCTCACGGTGCAAACCAATGGCGGAGACTGCAGGATGTGTTGTCACACGTCCTTCTCCCACTTACTATGAACACTATCTACATTCACCTCGATATAGAACCATGCAAACACCTTCCGTAGGGAGGCCGCGCCTAGGGCGACACGAGGCCGAGCATGGAACTCAATACGTGAATTTAAAGGAGAACGTGAGAGAGAGAGTAAAGTATGTTATATATACTTTGTATATCAAATATATACGCTGTATATTACATATTCTCTTTTGCTCCCACTTAGTATTTTAAGACTAGGGTATATTACTTAGATAAATCCCGGCTAAGTGAAATTAACTAAGTGAATTTTTAGTCGGCCCAATATAACTATTATATCGGAAGTTGTACAATAATGTTTTAGTTTGTTAAACACTTTAATAAACCAACGACATTATTGCTTGTATATAAAATAATATCTAATTCAACCCCTAGGTCGGTTCCCAGGTAGAGGTGTTCCCTTACGGTCAGCTTAAATACCTCAACATAGACAAAACCTTCCTTAGACAGGGTTCCCTTATAGACAACATTTTATGTTTAGTCTTTTATTATTTCATTTTAAACCTAGTTAAAACAAAATAAAAAACTAACCCCTAATCACATTAGAAGATATAACCTAAGGTCTAATTAATTTTAAACCCCTTTAAAATTAATTTAGACTTTATGTTTGCATGCAACTCTTTATTATAGATTTTAATTTCTATCTACCACATTTTATGATTCTTATAAAATTTAAGAAATTAAAACTATAAACATGCATTGAAAGCATACATTAACATAACAATTATATTACCCAAAATAATGTCATGCTCAATGCAACTTTATTTTCATCTAATTAATACAACACTTATATTAATTATGAAAATAAAACATGCATTCATACATTATAACATTTATAACTATATGATGCATGACCATACATACATACTATATATCAAACATACATATTATGCATGTAACCTATGGTGGGATTTTAAAACTATCTGGCATACAATATGCAATATGATTTTAATTAAAATACACATTCATAATGCATAAAATAATTAAATAGCAAAGTTGGAACAGTTTTTGGCACCTTAAGAAAACGAAATAATACAAAATAAGAAAACCGACTGCATCCGCCCTCGAACAGCGAACCGGAGCCTCGGAACCACGTCGAAAAACACCCGGGACAGCGCCTCGGCGCCTAAGGGCAGCGCCCTAGCATGGCGCCATGGCGCTGCACAGCGCAGCGACGCTACATTGCACGTCGTGGCGCTATGTGCTTTCCCGCAGCGCCATGGCGCTGTCTGCGCAGTCTGCTTCGTCTTATTCGCTGTTTTCTGCAACTTTTGCCCAATCCGACGCCACGAACGACTTTCGAGGGACCCGGACTTACAGAAATAATGCAGAAACTTAATGCCCAAAAAATTGGGCCCTTACATGATCAAATCACGAAGTAAAACACTATCTAGGTGCCAAAAACCGGAAATTTTCCAACCCGCAAACCCATATTTCGAAAATATGAAATCACCCACCAAACTCAACGATTTTGATCCCAAAAAATCAGAACTGCAACCTGGCTCTGATACCAATTGAAGGGAAGTGAACCCGAAAGCGGAAACGGATTTTCGTTGCTGATTTTCGGGATACAAAACCGAATTTTAAAGAAGGAAATATAGGGGAAATCCAAACCTCTGAAGAATGTTTCTTCAACTAGTTTTCCTCGAACACCACCACTATTTCATCCTCGCTATCCTCTTGGGTCTCGGGATCGTGCTGGTGGAAGCAATCCTTTGGAACGAGAGGGAGAGATTGAGAGCCCTTTGAGCGAAAATAATGGGAGAGTTTTTTTTTTTCCTATTCTGTAAAAACCTTGTCCTTCTCCTTCTCCAACCCTTGGAGAAGAAGAAGAAGGATGACGTGGGGTAACTCCCCACGTCACAACACCTCCCACTCCCCTGCAATTTTGCAGAGGAGTTAGTATTAATAATAATATTAATATTGAAGGAATGTGAATCCCGGAGCGGAAGCGGACTTTCGTTGCAGATTTTCGGGATACAAAATCGAATTTTACAGAGGGAAATTCAATACCTTTGGAGAACGTTTCTTCAACAAAATTCCGACGAACACCACCACCGAGCCTTCCTCACTATCCTCTGGGTACGAGATCGTTCTTGTGGGAGAAATTCTTTGGAACGAGAGGGAAAGTTTTATAGAGAGATTGCACGAGAGTGTCCTTCTTGGAAGTTATGTTCTTTGTGTTCTGTAACTTTTGCAGAACTGCAAAAAACAAAAACAGTGACGTGGGGTAACTCCCCACGTCACACTAACCTCCCACTCCCCTACAATTTTGCAGGGGAGTTTAATATTATTAATATTAATAATATATATATATTTATATAAATAATTAATATAGATATATAATATTAATAATCTCAAGAGGCCCAATGAAACTTGCACTGAGTTTTCCCTTCTTTCCAAAACGTAAAATACCCTTCATGGGTGCCACACGAAGAAAGACCCGCTCACAAACCTCAAACTCGAGTTCCTTACGCCTGATGTCTGCATAACTCTTCTGACAGCTCTGAGCAATTTGCATCCTCCCCCTGATCTTATGGATGGCACTGTTAGTCGACTGCACCAACCCCGGTCCCATGAGGACCCTTTCTCCGACTTCGTCCCAATTAACCGGAGACCGGCACTTCTTCCCATAGAGTGCCTCGTACGGAGCCATTCCAATCGTGGCCTGAAAACTGTTTTATAAGCGAACTCTATTAGGTAAAGATACTTGTCCCAACTACCCCCAAAATCTAACATGCAAGCCCTGAGCATGTCCTCTAAAACCTGGTTCAAACGCTCTGTTTGACCATCAATCTGGGGATGAAACGCTCTGCTAAAATCCAACTTAGTCCCAAGGACTTGTGTAAACTTTGCCAAAAAAAGTCGAGGTGAAACGCGGATCACGATCGGATACTATGGATACAGGTAGGCCATTGAGCCTGACAATTTCCTGTAAATAAAGCTCCACCCATTTTTCTACGGTATACGTGGCCTTGCCGGGAATAAAATGAGCAGACTTGGTCAAACGATCTATAACTACCCATATCACAGTAAATCCCTTAACCGTCCTTGGTAGTCCTGTAATGAAGTCCACAGCCACATAGTCCCACTTCCAAAATGGTATGCTTAAAGGTTGCAGCAATCCAGCAGGTCTCTGTCTTAAGTTAAGCTCCTTCTGAGTGAAAAGGTACTTCAAACTCTGATGATCAGTGAAAACCTGAATTCTTTCTCCGTATAGGTATTGCCTTCATATCTTTAAGGCGAAAACTACTGCTGCTAGCTCTAAGTCATGGGTGGGGTAGTTAAGCTCATGCACCTTTAACTGCCAAGAAGCATATGCTATAACCTTTCCATGTTGCTTTAGGACACATCCCAAGCCCTTTCGTGCGGCGTCGCTGTAAACCACCAAACCTCCCATTCCATCAGGGACAGTTAACACCGGTGCAGACACCAAACGCTTCTTTAGTTCTTGAAAAGCCTCCTCACACTCGCTTATCCAAGTGAAAGGAGCATTTTTATGAGTCAACTGCGTCAACGGTGCCGCTAAGCGAGAGAAATTCTGGATAAACATCCTGTAGTAACCAGCCAAACCGAGGAAACTACGAACCTCCGTAACTGAGCTAGGCCTTGGCCTATTGCTAACAGCCTCTACCTCGGCGGGGTCTACTGCAATGCCATCCCTGGTGACTATGTGACCTAGGAAAGCCACCTTGTCCAACTAGAATTCACACTTCGAAAACTTCGCATACAACTTATTTTCTCGTAGTGTAGCCAAAACTTGCCTGAGATGCTTCTCGTGACACTCCTCAGTCTTGGAATAAATCAGTATGTCATCAATAGACACAATAACAAATGAATCTAAGAAATCCTTAAAAACCCGATTCATTAGCTCCATAAAAACTGCAGGAGCATTAGTGAGTCCAAAAGACATCACGATAAACTCATAGTGCCCAAAACTCATTCTGAAAGCTGTCTTTGGGATGTCGGCCCCCTTTAACCTTAACTGGTGGTATCCCGAACGCAAGTCTATATAATGAACTAAGGGAGCACACTAACTTATCTAATATCAAGCAACAATGATATCTCACCCATAGGCAATGTAAAGCATTCATGATCAAACAAACAAAACTAAGAAGCGTACCTGGTGATGACGAGGAGACTGACAAGGACCGTACACTGACGACCTAGATTCTAGGACAGTCTACAGGAACAACTCCGCTCTGATACCAATTGTAACGACCCAGAATTTCCCGCACACCTCTAGGTCACATTAACTACCCAACTAATAAAATTTAACCCCGACTACATCCTGCCAACTTCCTATGCAACAAACATATAAAATCAAGTTCCAATCCTCATCAATTTAGCGATAAATCAATCTCATAGAATAACATTCAACAACATTCGTGAACCACTTCACGAGGCAAGTTTATTTCTCAATCTATATGAATATAAATAAATGGAATAAAA